CGCCGTATCAGCAATACCTCTGGAAAATGGGCACGTATCACACCAGGATCACACTGCACAAGGGGAATTTATGATAGGATCAACGCCCCAGGAAGATCGTACTGTCGAGAACAGAGATATACAACTGGGGTCCCTAGCCCATCGAGAACAGACCTCGCCCCAAACTGTCGCAAACTCAACATCAATGGATACAGAACCGCCGAATCAGAGCATCAGACGGCGTTCATCCGCTCCGCAGCCAAATGCGAACAACGCCGTCTCAACGCAGGCATTTCCACGTCATTCCACTGGTCACCTAACGGCATCTCCTTGGCGTCACATGGAGACTTTACTCTATGATCTACGGCTTTACGATGATGACAATGTCTCTAGGGGCCAGTCTCCGCGTCAGTGGGCCAGGCACAATTGTTCAAATCGCCTGTGCGACCGGCGTGAACACATCCAAGAGCCATGGCCCCGATCCCGGGAGACTGAGCGTTGCATAGTTAGAACCAAAACCCGACTCCGAACGATGTTGCACTGCCAGTATTCCTTCGGGTCGATTGTTGGTGCACCAGTAATGTAAGTACCGTCCTTAAGAAAAAGCGAGGCAGTCTGCGGGTTGCTGACTATTCCAGCTTCTTCCTCGGAGGATTTATCTTTTCGTTCCTAACTAGCCTTGACGAGTTGGGAGATGAAAACATCGCGTAGGTCTAGTCTCCATATCATTCAAAGCCGCAAACGTACTAATCAAATTCTGTAGGGAATCCATCGCTTTTGGATCATGGTACATGGTGAGTCCTCACTTCCTGGCTACTATTCCTCGATTAACTCAAGCTAGATTATTCCTCATATCGCCATCATTTCCGGGCTACTACTTGCTGGAAACAACCCCAACATCCTGGAGGGGGTTCTGGCAACAGAGCGAGATCCGGAAGATCCGGAAGATCCAACCTACGTCTTTGGTTTCTTACGCTTCGATCTGGTCTATCCCAGTTGCTACAAGGTGGCCTGGCAATGGCTTCGCGGCCACACCAAGAAGCAATGGATCGAGCAGCTTCTGACAGTCTATAGCAGAAGAACTGATGTCGAGTATCGAGGCCACGAGGATATCGATGGCGATATGAAGGATCTACGCTTCAGAACTACCTTGTCGCTCCTCGACTGGTTCGTCTTGCTCTTCCTCACTCTGCTCCTCGTCGGTATCCCCTACCTGTTCGCATTCATGCTGGCCTTCTTCACGCCCCAAATCGGGCTGTCCTGCCGCTCCCTGACGTTCTTGGTCTACTTTGGTCTCCAGCTCGCGCAGATTGGTCTATGGCTATGGGCTTACATCGGCGCCCCGGGCGACGTCACCAACCCCAAACGCCGCATCAGAGCATTGGACATATTTAGAAAGGGAGGCTGGCTCGATCATCGAAAATTCTACGACCCCTCAACGGCTCCGTGGCACGAAGACACGCACTCGCCCAGCTCCAAGCTGGCGGACTTCCTAGCCCACGCCAGCAAACCGGGATCCTGGACCTTGCACACTTTTTGGTCCTCGCTGTACTACTCGTTGCAAATCATCTTTGGGCTGAGCGCCGTTTTTGTCAGTCTCGGCGGTACTTTGATGCAAATCATGGGCGTGTACCGCACCAACATGTGCTTCGTCAACGTGCATTACTGGTTGGAGCCGAAGGAGAGACGTCCCCCAGTTGTGTTATCGGTGAACAGCCGGGAAATGATTAATTCCGCCACAAGTAAGTCACATACGCAGTTTCAATATCAAACGGACTTTCTGTCCTTTTTGGGGGGAGGGGGAGACCATGGGTCTGACAAGCAGCAGAATACTGGAAGCCAGTCGCCATTGCCGCGATAGCGTTCATGGCGGTTGTGAGCTTCGTAGGCTGGTGGTACCAGCGACGTATGCGCGACGTGTTTGGGCAATGTGAGTGTATCGAGATACGACAGTCTCTTTGGATGTGGGCGTTTACTGATGATCATTTAGTGGTGAAGAAGATTGACAAGGTTGAGTTCGAACGTGAGTGGCCATTCCGCCCCCGACCAGCTCTGGGAACCATGACGAACGGTGCCATCGACGGACAGCAAAACTAGTTGGTATTGGGAGGCCAGTAGCTAGTGTCGGTATTTGTTCTAGACTTCCTCGGCCAGGGAACGGCAGAATTGACGCTGTCTCGAGATCTCTTGTTCCTTCCGACCAGTATTGTGAATCGTTGTTGTTCTCCAAGGCTTCCGCGAGATTCCCTGTACGATTGACTGTCGCACGGGAACACTGAGACCACAACTTGGCAGGAGTGCGGTGCTGGTTGTCGATACAGTGTCCTGGCTCGACCGGGCTTCCTGCCGAAGTGAATTTCGACACGGAGTGCAAGTCCTTCATTCATTACAAGCTACATTCAGAGCTCGTTGCCAGTCTTTTACTCACAAACTAACGTAGCGTCACCAACATCCAAGCGCTGATCGCTATGAATGTTGCTTTCACCGACATGACGACAAGGCATACTTCACCTTGAAATGTGACCAAAGTTCAATAATTTACCTTGCCTTGATTGACGGCGTAGAGGTGTCACGTTGCTTGGACAGGTAGCAGCCACAGGAAGTAACCGTTTCTTGAATATTGATACTTATGCAACAGCGGCTTATGATGCCTTAGAAAGCAGTTGGTATGCCACACACCGAAAACACGGCTGTCGTTTTCTGTGCTTCGTCCAATATAGATGCAATCATAAGACGAGCGCGGGAGCAACCGCCCCTTGGTGACTAGAAGCCATAGCAAAGGTGAGAAACTCGAAGTGGTGAACGTTAGGCACCAGCAATTGAATTGTGGTACCCAGACCAGGATTCGAGCGCAACCAACCAGCATATCCAATGTCAGCTCGCAGCTTCTGGGGCCCCTGGCCTCTCACCAGTGCTGTGGAGTCTTGAGAGCCGCAAGAGGTAATCAATATTTCTGACAGGATGAACAGCATAGTTTATTGGAGGAGCTCTACGAATACACCGCTTCCTGCAGGGGAAGCCGGGATTTTGCGTGGGCAAAGCGCGAAGGATTCAAGAACAGGAACTCAGCCCGCGGAGCGTTCTCCACAACATAGATGCAATTGATCCTTTAACGGTATCCGTAGAGGCATTCAGCAAGCTTCTGCTTCCTTAGTAGGCAGCCAAATTGAGATGACCAGGGAGAGAGGGAAAAAGCCATCCTTGATCAAGTCAGCTCGTGGAGTTGACATGATGCCACAAAACTCTTGGTACTGGCTCCGACATGCCGCGCTTACAAGACGCCATGGAAATGGAAACACATAAAGAGTCCATCATGAGACGCCTCAACTCGTTTTGATGTATCGCCACCCATAGGTCGACAAGAACCCCCCCAAGATTAGAATCATAATGTTCAACCTCGCAAAGACCCTCACCGCAGGCCTAGCCCTCGTAGGCCTGGCCACCACCACGCCGGTACCCCTCGACAAGCGCCTGCCAGGCCGCGTCGTCCGCGCCGGCGACCCCGTCGTCATCGACCCGACCGGCAACTACATCCGTGTAAGCTTCATGAACGACGGCACCCTCATCGGCGGCTACGCGGCGAAAGAAGGCTCGACCAGCATCCTCCGCGTCGTCCGCTCCACCGACGGCGCGCAGTCCTGGCAGCGCATCGGCGAGGTCTTCCGCGGCGAGAGGGCAACGCACGACATTGACAACGCCATGCCGATCCAGCTGCCGGGCGGCCGCATCCTGTACGCCTACCGGAACCACGACCGCACGGGCGCCGAAGGGCACTACACCTACTTCCGCATCTCCGTGTCGTACTCGGACGACGGCGGCGCGACGTTTAAGTATCTGTCTACCGTCGAGGAGCACGTGCCCAACGGCGTCAACGGGCTGTGGGAGCCGTACCTGCGTCTGGCGAGGGATGGCACGCTGCAGTGTTACTATTCGGCCGAGAACTCGGCTGATGACCAGGACAACTTTATGAAATACTCCAAGGACGGCGGTCAGACTTGGTCGGCCTGGATTCCTGTCTCGGGCGGCGATCGTTTGTCCCGTGACGGTATGGTCGGTGTTGCGCCTATTGGCAACGAAGGAGACTTGATGTAAGTTGGGTGGTAATCAAGCTTCCCTACCCATCCGGAAAGAGAAACTAACAGCGAGCCCTTCACAGTGCCGTGTTCGAACACACCAGAGAAGGCAGGTTCAACGTCGATTACGTCCTCTCCCACGACGACGGCTACACCTGGGGCGAGCGCGGCAGCCTCTACACGGCGCGCAACGGCCGCATGTCGGGCGCGCCGCAGGTGTACAACGTATGGGGCACGCTCGTCGCTAGCTTCATGACCAACGAGGACGTTGAGGGTGCCGACGGCTACAACTTTGGTGAGATGAAGGTCATCACCAGTGTCGACCACGGTAAGACATGGAGCGGCAGTGTCGTGACGGGACCCGCGCAGGCCCATTGGCCTGGACTTTTCAACAGGGACCCGACACATTTCCTGGCGCTGTACTCAAGAGAGGGTGTCGGCGCTGTTAGTCAGTTGTATGAGTTGGTGAACTAGGCATAGGGGTCGTTTAAGAATCGGCCAAACTGTCGCGTATTGTTGTTTGGGGCTGTGTATGAATGGTTCACCGTTGGAGTAATATGATAATGACTTGGATGAAATTGTTTGACTGTTGCTCGTGTCGTCGAGCACGCTCTGTGCATGGTGTCAAATCATTTTCAGAAGATGTAGCTGAAGTTCAATAACGACCTTGGCCAGATTGTTCTCCATAGAAAGGATACGGATGTCCTCCATCCACTGTGGAAAATACGCTGGACGTAAAATAGTTGACATAGCTGCCAGAGGGAACGGACTGAGCTTGAGATGGGCCAGGCATTTGGTCAACTGCATTTGGCGCTGCCTGCGATAATTCGTTTGCTGGCGAATTGGAGCTCGTCTGTTTCTCCGAGGCTCGCGTTGAATCAGGAGCCTTCACTGCCCCTGTTTTCTTTTGTGGATTCTTCTTGTTGTCGGGTTTCCTCTTCCTCTTCTTCAAGGGCTCTCCATTTTCATCGACAGCGCCTTCGTCGACAACCTTCCGCTTGCGCCCGCGTGTCTCTGGGAGATCCGGGTTGTTGTGGCGCGTACGGTCGCACCCATACGGGTCCTTCAGAAGCTCGCGACCTGTTCGCTCGCTGATATCGAAAAACTCATAGAGATCCTTCCTCTTGAACTCATAACCCTAAGCAGTAAGAAATATCTAGGCTCCACGGAACCGTGCCTTTTTAGGCGTGTCGTACTCTTTATGGCCCATGATGGTGGTGGTGGTTCGATAGTGAGCTGGGCATCTGTTGGACAAAAATGGGTGTAAGCGCGTGTTAGATATTACTTTATAAACCGGCAGTGTATTTTGATGACGTTGCGGTGATGAGGAACGACGAAGCTCAGCTGAAGCCTTGCAGGTGGGACCAGCTGGCAGTCTTAGATACACGCACCTTCAATGCCGCGGGGTGATAAGATAAGATTTTGCATCCTGGCGATAACGATAAGCAATTTTTTTGACGGCGGCTTCAACTTTACCGCAGAATTGAGATCAGTTCGCATCCCAGCCACTTGCATCAAAGACCCGACGGACGACAAATTCGACCACCGGCACAATGCTTCGTCAAATGTGAGTCGCGGTAACCGCACAACGTAGCCATGCAGACAAGTAGCTAATAATTTCTCAACAGAAAACCCCGTAATGCTCGCTCCAAGCGTGCGCTCGAGAAGCGCGAGCCCAAGGCCCAGTACGTTCCCCCGATCTCGACGAGCAAGTTTGACCATGATCGCATGCTAATTCAGCAACCTTTCTCTCAAACAGAGAAAACCCCAAGACGGCATTGTTCCTCCGCGGAAGCTCATGCTCGCAAGTGACACAAGATGCCATCAACGAGCTCTACCAGATGCGCCAGCCGCTCGCCAAGCGCTTCGTAAAGAAGAACGACATCCACCCCTTTGACAACGCCGACTCGCTCGAGTTCTTCTCGGAAAAGAACGACGCCTCCATCCTCGTCTTTGGCCACACCTCCAAGAAGCGACCCCACGCCCTCACCCTCGTCCGCACCTTCAGCTACAAGGTCTTTGACATGCTCGAGCTCTACCTCGACCCGGACACCTTCCGCACCCTCGCTCAGTTCAAGGGCAAAAAGGTCCCCATCGGCCTCAAGCCCATGCTCAACTTCGCCGGCACCGCCTGGGACAGCCCCATCGCCAACGAGTACACCCACGCCAAATCCTTCTTCGCCGACTTCTTCCGCGGCGAGCCCACGGACAAGATCGACGTCGAGGGCCTGCAGTGGATCGTCTCCATCACGGCCGACGAGCCCACCGACGACGCCGCCAAGCCCGCCATCCGCCTTCGCGCCTACACCATCGCCACCAAGCGCAGCGGCTCCAAGGTGCCCCGCGTCGAGGTCAACGAGATTGGGCCCCGGATGGACTTCCGCGTCGGCCGCGTGCGCGAGCCCGAGGAGGGCATGCTCAAGGAGGCCATGAAGAAGCCCCGCGGCACCGAGGAGCGCACCAAGAAGAACATCACCACGGACGCCATGGGTGACAAGATGGGTCGCGTGCACGTCGGCCGCCAGGACTTGGGCGAGCTGCAGACGCGCAAGATGAAGGGTCTGAAGCGCAGCAGGGACGTGGCGAGCGAGGACGAGGGGGAGAAGGGTGACGCGGAGGAGAAGCCAAAGAAGGGTCGTAAGGAGTAAAGTGCTTGGAGTGACAAAAGAATACGGCGACAGTTATGAGAAAGAGAGAGAGAGAGAGTGTGTGTGTGTGTATGTGTGTATTGCGGAGGAAACTTGATATACATATCCGAGTGGGAAAAGAGACGACGCAGCGGAGGATCGACCACTCATTGGCGTTTTGTTTTTGGTCAGGAGGCATCCCACGGTTGGAGTTTTGAGCTTCTTTCAGCAGATGGTCGGCAGATTACAAAAGCAGGAACAAAGTCACAAAAAGCATTTGAAGACCTCTATTCGTTCTACTACAGACATACTTCTTTCTCTAATGTAGGCCAACTAGGTGATGTTTGCGCTTATGGGACATCGACTAACACGACCACCTCACTCACAGCTTCAGTTCAAGATCCGAAACCCTCCAGACCAGACGCTCACCGCTAGGATCCCTCTTTCTCAGCAACTCAATCGCCTTTTGCGCTCTCTCCAGCATGGTGGCGCCCTCGACAATCTTCTGCTTGTTGGGCTTGATGATGCCCTGCTCCAAGAGCGTCGGCACAATCTCTCTCTGCATCTTTTCCTTGAAGAACTCATTCTGTGTTACCGAAATATCAGCCTTGCTCATCTCATGGCAACATACTCACTCGACGAAGAAACGAATGAAATCCAAAAAACTCACCGCAAGGTAGAAATGCGTCCTCACCCCCCGGAGCTCGACACCATCAGCCCACTCCCCAGCCAACATGATCCCCACCTCCATCTCATACTCCGGCTCAACCTCCTCCGTCGCATCCCTCACAATGACAGGCAACATGACCGCAACCTTTGTCCCCCGGCCCGCAATCCTCGTCAACGGTCTCAGCGTGCCCTCGACGGACCCGATACAATCCAACACGAACGGCACGCCCCGCTCACCGACGGCCCCCAGGATCTTCTCCACGACGTCGGCGTCCCGGTAACTAAACGTCTCCCGCGCGCCCATCGCCTTCAGCTGCGCGTGGTGCTTCTCGCTCGCCACGGCCAGGACGTTCCGATATCCCCAGTGCCGCAGCACCTGCACCGCGTACACGCCGACGCTGCTCGCCGCGCCCCAGACAAGCACGGCGTCGTCCCTCGCACGCGGGACCCACTCTCCCTCGGCGGGCCGAGGCCACGGCAGCTCTAACCCCAGATCCGCCGTCACGGCATGGAACACGGTGATCAGATTCGTCGGCACCGTCGCCGCCTCCTGCGGGGTGACGTTCGCGGGCAGCTTGGAGACCAGACACGCCGGCACCGTCGCGAAGTCCTGGTGCGCGCGCTCGCTGAAGCGGTGGAACGCAAACGTAAAGATCTTGTCCCCCGGATTCAGTCTGTCGGCGTCCGCTGGGTCCTGGTCGGGGCCTACGGCGACTACGGTGCCCGCTGCGCCGCCGCCCATGACCTCCGGGTGGTTGCAGAGGAGGCCGCCGTCGGCGCGGTGGAGGTCGAGGGGGCTGGAGGCGGTCCATTCGTTGAGGATGAGGATCTCGCCTGGTCCCGGGGGGGTCGTCTCGCGGTCGAGGAGGATGAGGGGTGCGCGTTTGGCGGGTGTGGCGACGGCCTTGTGGGTTTTGGGGATGGTTACCATTTTGTGTGATTCTTTCTCTGACGTTGGGATTATGAGAGAGTTGTGTGTATAGTAGGGAAGATTCAACCTGCTTCGCGTACAAACGAGTCTGATGATGCCGTAAGAAGATTGTCTTCACTACAGACGACACCAACACACTTGAAGTTGAGAGACTCTCGTGCCATTTTTGTACTCAGTCCTTACTTATCCCCACTAACAACTCTCAACGAAATTTGAAATGCCAAACCAACAGAAGCTCAGCATTGCATTTGAATCCCAAATCACCACGGAGACAGGATGCTGAATAAGCTTGGCGCAAGGGAGTTTCGGCCCCGGTTTGTAGTTGATGTCGTGATTTCTAAGCTAGATGACTGGAGAAGGGATGAGCCGTGGGCCCCGCTTCCATCCAATCCATTAGCATTCCCCTCTTGTCCTCTTCGTCCGATCTAGTCCCTATTGTCTGCCCTAAATGAGTGCTTCTGGAAGTGAAAGAGTACTATTTCAGAAACTTGGTCTTTGCTGGTGCTGTGTAACTTGGCAGTTACTTAATGGGGGCATGTTACGTCATGATGGCAATTCTTAATTGCGATGTTCGATTTGGAGCAAGGACAAGTATTCTGTCGTACCCAAATGCGTTTTGTTATGAATCCTTAGATCTTGGGTACTGGGTATGCATTGAGACAAAACGTCAATTGATTCTCTGGAATTAGCTAGAGGAATGCTTGAATGATCACACCGAGCCGTGTAGGGACCAAACCGGCCTAAATCCTTGACTTGGGGCAACGGAACTGCCGCAAAACAGGTCCGAGGCCCGGTCTTTGGCCCCCCGACCAGTCCCACTTAACCCGGTCCTCGCTCAGTCTGCCGGTCGGCAAAAATGGGGAACGGCCTACTCTTCCATTCATATCGGGTCGACTCGCCTGACTGGGCAGCTGATACATTGAGCGCGCGCTCGCGCGTCTAGTCAGTCTGATGTTGAGACGCCGAGTCGAGTCGCGCCTCTGACTTAGGTACTAGGATATCCGGACTTGGTCTAGATACCTAGGCGGTCGATGAGGATGGTCACTGCGAAAGTTGTTCATTTTTCACGTGAAAGGATAGCAAACTGGGGATAGAGGGAATTCGTGGTATTGTTCTATCAAGATCCATGTCCCATCTGAGGAACCGGTAATACCTCTTCGTATCCCTCCAATTGCCCCGAATTTTCAAATGTGAAAAAAGGAAAAAGGCTGAGCGTAGGTGTCGACCCAATCCTTGGAGTGTGGCAGCCCGTAAGACGATGGCTTGCTCCCCATATTCCCGCCAACCCACCGTCGTTATCCTAATCCCAGCCAGGCGCGAGAGCCATTGGCGCCTCCTTCCTCCCCCTCTTGAGCGGGAACAAAGGCAACCTCCTCAAGCTCCCCCTCTCTCCTCTCAGCTGGGTTCGCAAAAGCCATCTCTCCTCGCGGCACCTCCCATCTCATCCAAGGTCCGTCTCTGCCGACACCTATCGCCTAGCTACAGCTTGCAAAAGGGGAGCGGAAAACACATAGGATACAAGACCTTTATTTGTGTTTCTTGCCCTTATTGGGTGCCGTTATAAAAATTGTAAAGAAAATGTTGATAAAATCGTTCAGAACCCAAGGAAAAAGTCCATCAGGGTCCCCCCACACGAGGGGAACCCCATAAAGATTCCATCCAAACTCCGTTGCGCCATTTGGTATATCCGTTCATGGCATCCATGATGAAAAAATCGCTTCATCCGTAACAGTCAAATACGTCTGTTCTTCGTCGAGATCAAATCGCACGTTCGCTTATCGCTTATCGCAAGCACACAAGAGTTCACTAATAGGTAGCATCAAGTGTGTTTTACATGCGCGAGGGCTGGTTGAGAACATTGTAGCCCATGGGGCCGACGGGCACCGTTCTCTTGGTCTCGATGCCGTGCTCGAGGTCGTAGCGGTAGGTGGGCGGGTTTCCGACCTCGCGGAGGGCCTTCTTGACTCTTGATCGGAGGGAGCGGCGTTCCTTGACGGCGGGTGCTGCCGCTGCTACTGTCACAGCGGGGTCCTTTTCGAAGGATTCCTTTTCAAAGGAGCAGATGGTCGAGGTCTCGGAGAAGGTGGAGGGTGCGTATGTTGCTTTGGCCATTGTTGCGGTTTGGAGGGTTTGGATGATGGTGGATGTGTGGTTAATGGTGATGATCGTAGGTAGTAGATGTGGTGAGGGTGGTGAATGTGGTGACGGGTAGCTTCTTGTAGTATTGCTGGTGTTGATAGCGTCTGATTGATGGACGATTGGTAGAAAAGGCTGATTGATTGCTGACGCAGGCCAAGATGAAGTATTGGTAGAGGCTGGGCGTGGCATGCTCTTTATAACTATGTTTTCCAAAACGAAGCGATGCACCGCCTCAAATGCCATGGAACGCAATGTCACTGTATCCTGCATCCATCCTGTACCTAGGTAGTGTACACTACCTTGGAACCTGAGGAAGGTATCACAGTATCAAAGTATCAAAGTATCCTTTCGTAGGACTCATCTATTCCAAGCAAAAGCCGGCGGCGTGGTTTGGGGGCCCCCAAAAACGGGCGCAGAAACCTGAACAAGCATCTTCCCCCCTTTCCTCGTCCCAACCCAAGCCATCCCATCCCATCGCACACACACACACGCACTCGGACACACGCAACTTGCACACGCATCCCCCAAAGATTCCGTCACTGGGAGAATTACCCCCCTCCCCTGGTCCTATCCCAAGGCATCCAACCAGGCCCCCGGAACAGATCAAGGTCGTGTATCCACACCATTGCGTCGCCCATAACCAACAATTGGGCTTGCGTGGGCGTGTGACGGGAAGCTTATTGAGCTTAACCTCTTTCGCCCCCTCCCTCACGCCGTCATATTCACAATATCATACCGCCGCAGTATTCACTGGGAGTTCTTAGCAGGACTAAACCACAACAGGTAAGTAAGACTACCCAAAGGGATTCCTGTACAGGCAAGACATTACGCCGGTTCGCGTCAGTTTGTCAATGCGTCAAACTGCCCCCCTCCATCATGAATCCTCTAGTGTTAGCCTCGAAACTTACTCTCTCCCTGCGTGAGCACGACGCTGTAAATAATAGCTTGCCAGTTGCCTGGCAAGCCTGGCACTGAGCAGTTTGGCAGTGTCGCTCTAATCCTCCTTGTTCCGATAAACTTCGGCCATGAGTCACTTGGCGCAAGGCTCAACCCTGACAATGCGTCCGCCTACATCCGAATCTTGCTGCTTCGCCGTCCTTCATTCACTCTCGCATGGATCACAAGAGCATCACGGCGTGCCTGGCAAAGTCCCGTACGGGCGGCAGGGTAGCAAGGCGGCAATCGAAAATCCAATTCAATGCGAGCAAAGAGCAAAGGAGAAAATCTCAATTCATCCCATCATCGCCAAAACTGACAAGCTGCGATAGAAAAGTTTCTTTCTTTTTTTCTAATTATTGCGAAACCAATGCCACTTTGGCATCTTGGCGAACCCTCCATTCAACTCAGCCCCAAGCCATCGCCGACGCACGATCTTGACCCAATTGATTGAGGCTTTCCCGCGCGCATTTTGTCGTGGAAATCCACCAGTGTACGACAATTCGCTTTCGTACTAGGCTTGACACTGCAATTGCTGTGGATACCATGCCGAATAGACTCATCAACTCATACCACGTTTAGACTCACAGTGACTACGCAACGCAATCACCTTACGACGTCAATGTCATACCTAATTCACTTGGAAATACGCATACATTCAGACATTGAGATCTTCCCCCCCGGTCCCGTGGTAGCGGGTTCCACGGACCACGTAAGGCAAGGTATTGGGGACGGATACAGCAGATCAACGGCCAACGCGGCCGTTCGGTTCCCGGCACCGCTACCAACCAAAAAATAAGCGTCAGATTCACCCCCGCTCCCCTGCCTCCAGGGCTACGCAAACCAACAGGCACCAACAACACCACAGCAACTCTAGCGTAGGAATTGATCCGCCATAGGACAAATAGGACTCGTAACATTGTAAGACGGCAAGATAGACCACCGGTCGGCTGTGCATACCTACCTTACCTCGTCGAGTACCTCACAGTATACGTGGTAGACAGTCTCAGACCTCTCTCTCATCGCAGTGAGAAACCTGAGATCTCGCCGCCGGTGAGATTTTGTCCTGCGTCGTGAGTCACTCCCCCAACGCGCCCGCCATTGTTACAAAAAAAACACGCAAAACATCAACATCTGGCGTTTAATCTGCCCTGTCTAGGAATGATTTCTCCACTGCGCGGTACCAATTTTAAGACCCCGTTTCTACCTTGGCGATGGATACCCACGAGAGTGATCTCGACTTTTTTCGGCGAGCCAGAAACGCCTGAACGAAGGATTGATTGGATCAGCAGTACTACGGGGGAACGCCGTGACGTTTACCTGTACGAACACTTCCACTGCCGGCCGGTACACGCGGGACTGATTATCCCCCCGAGGGGCCAGATCAGCCCTAATGCGAAGCACTGCATTACTGCGAAAGGGACTTTGGGGCTCCGGTGACTCCTCGCCTGACAGGCTCACCAGTCACCACAACCCAAACGAGTTCGCCGGTTCTCGCATCATGTCACAGCCTACCTAGCGGTACGTATACAGGCAGATACTCCACCAAAGTTAGATCGTGAGGAAAAAAGTCCTGCATTACACGCGGAATCCATAGTAACCACTCCGCCCTCCATCCTCGTAAACCCAGAAAGAAAAAAAAAAAACCCTCCAACGAAGAAAACATCTCGCTGGAGACGAATGAACAAACGTGTCCCTCGTCCCCGATGTGAATCTCCCACGCCGGGTGGGCCCCACCAAATTCACTCCCAAGATGCCCACCCATGTCGGCAGCCATCCACTTGAAGCAGTCGTCGTCACAAACGCGGGCTCTGTCAAAGAATCCTCATCCAACACGCCCTGAGAAAAAAAAAGCTTGTCTCCCCACACGATCTCTCCGAGTCCCTTGGCAGGCCAAGGCTCCTTCCTACCGGCTTGGCTTTCCCGAACGAGAGCCGTCTTGACCCTTCCATTGGGATCTGCCTATGAGAATGAAACCCCGCAGCCTCCTCCGTAACGACGCATCACACCGTAAGGCACCATCGAGTTAGGCTACCATTACGCTTCGACGTCGGGCTATAGGCGGCTGGGGCAGGCCATCCTCAGGCTTCCATGGCTTCTGCCCAAGTTACCTAGGTGGCACCTATGTTCTAGATCGTTTCCCTGACTTTGCTAAAGTTGGCAGGTTTCCAAGCGGCGGGGCCCAACGAGATTCATAACACCAAGGGGTTCAAAGAATGAAATGTTCAAACCTCGTGAAAAGCGTGTGTGTGCATGTCAAGGATTCTGCAATCTAGGTAGGCTACCTCGCCCGCAGCCTACGGAAATCGAGTACAGGAGCGTTCGAGCTTTCACAGACTTCCTTGTACCCTGGAAAGTATCACCAGGACACACGCCTTCTTCCAGAAATTTATCGCCTCTCGAGGCCCGTGGTAAAGCCAGACGTCTCTCTGGTTGACTCCATGTGACTTTATACTAGTAAGAGCTCTCAAAGCTTGGATTTGAGCGGTTATCAAGTCCTGGACCACCCCTCATCTTTCGTGTCTACATATCTACCTTAGTATACACCCATGCCGTTAAAAGATGATTACCCAGAGTAAAAGACGAAAGCACGCCAGGTCTTGGTACAGGGATAAACTTCCTGGTCGTTCCCTCGAGCTATCCGAGGGCGGTAGGTAGGTTGTCAATCACTGGACGCAACACCCAAACATCACGCAACTTCGAAAATCTCAATGAAACACAATGAGAAAGATGAAGAACAAGGGCGCCGGCAGAGGGATTAAGTAGAATGCTCGACCAATATGGGCCGTGACCGTGAGGTTCACTGTCTCTTTTCGTGATTCACTGTCGTCCGAGAGAGAGCTGTACTATAGAACTTCACGCCTTCGTCTCACTCTTCTTTCTATAAGCCTCTGTCCTGCAATATGTTTTACAAATAACGAGAAGAAGGGGGCTTAGTGGCAAATGAATCTGGTCTGGGAATCTTCGGAGCAAACTTTTATAGGGTCATCATGCATTCATAAGTATCCAATGTATCCTATCCCAGGTTAACCCTCACGAGACCTGCTCCCCACCCTCTCCCTCCGCCACATCAAGCTCCTGCTCAACCTCTTCCCCAGTAGGCTTCTCCCTCCCAGCCTCAGGCTCGACCTCCTCCCCCTCGTCCTCCTCCGCCGCAGGACGCCACACATCCCCCCTCAATAACGTACACGCAGCATCCAGCATATCCCGGTGCTCGCACCCAATCTTCTCGCAAAACGTAGACGCGACGCTCATCGTCAGACCGGGAAGCACACTAGGATCTCCCGCCTCCCACCGCCGCATCTCATCAAAGGTATCATCCAGAAGCAGCCTCGCGTGGTGCCGCCCGTCCTCGTCATCCTCGCCCGCTACTACCTTGCTGTACAAGAAAAAGACGCCGTGGCGGATGGTGTTCTCCGCCATACACACGCCCATCTCGATAACCTCAGGCCGGCTCAGCCCGTTCGTCGTGGGAGCCCTGTACCTCCGATACCCTTGACTAGCGAGGTGCGCGAGGACTACTATGCCCGCGAGGTCTTGTGTAGAAAGGTCGTTGCGGACGTGGGCGATTTGACGGAACCGCACATCCTGACGGTTAGACTCGTGGACCTCCCTCAAAGCCAGGTGCCAGCCATCAGGTGGCGGCGCGTCGTGCAGTATAATCTCCTGATGGATCAGCGACTTCACACAAGGGTCCCGGCGGGGGACGACGTCGTCCCTGTACCGTATCGAGTGCGTCTCCAAGTCGGCGATCGCCGAGCACTGCCAGAGCGCTCTCTTGAGGTTCGAGCGGATGGTGTCCGCCTTGTTCGCGTCCTGGAGCCCGTACTCCTCCCAGAAGGCGAGGTATGAGCCGTGGACGATATCCTCAATGTGTCGGTGCCGCGTCTCTAGCTCTCGGATGGTATCAAAGGTGTCTTTTGGGAGCACCTCGCGCTCGCGGGTGTCGGAGGCGAGGATGTGGTTGCGTGGTGCGCAGGGGTACCGGGCGGTGTTGACTCTTGTTACGGTGTGCTGGTAGCTATCCAGCAGGGCGCGGTTGGTCTTGCAGGTTGCTCGGAGGGCTTGGATCTGGGCAAAGTCTGCGTGCTCTGCTACGAGGAGGAGGAGGTGGCCGGGTAAGAGTGAAGACATTGTTATCCGAGGTTTAGATGGTAGTAAGGTATTGTAGGTGAATGTTGGAGTAGAGGTTGTACAAAACGCAGTTGGATGAACAAGGGGGTTTCGAAACAACCTCGATCGGCCTGCGATTGCCCTCTGACCCTCTGAGATGTGTGGTTGTGAGGAGAGGTAGCAGGAGGTGAGCCAGTATCGCTCTTGAACTTTCTGACCCCTTCGTTGCTCCTGCTGCCCTAGGCCTTGCTGTCAACCGTGGCCGTTCTGGTGTTCAGGCTTGCACCAGAGTATGTGAATAGTAGATATGTGAGAGTAAAAGCGAGAAATTGAACTTGAAGTGATTTGAAATGGAATGTTCTGTGAGAATCGAGTTCGTGATGCGGTAATGTGTGTAAGAGGTAGGCCACTCGCGTATAAGTAGTCAGGGCCCAGAGTGTTCTGAATCACTCCGCTCTTTAAAGTTGAGATTCAGATGAGATAGTTGACGAGAGCAGTGGTTCACAGTTCACAGCAAATCATCCAAAAGCTTTCAATCTGAGAGTTGAATAGCTGAAATGAGATACGGAAAGAGACCAACCAACAGAGATATAGCATCGCAAGTGCAAGTCAAGTGCGCACCCGGCTGTCCTTGAACGACGTCGCGATCGGCCATCCAGGTTCTCACTTGACGACACAGGCCGCACTCCGCCCCAGATTTCGTCCCTGTCCCAAAAATGGTGTCAGCGATCATCAAAGAGGGCAATTCTAGTATTAGTGCGGCATTTTGATTTCACGGAATGGACCCAGTTTAGAGAAAGGTGCTGTGTAACCCGGTTGGTCTTGCCAAGCTATATGAGGCGCATCGTGACAGTTGCGCAAGGAGGGGCATAGCTAAGCCCCTCCACTCTCTTCCGACCACAATCCAACCCTGCCCCTCAGTGATGGCTCTTGATAAGAATAGCAGGTCCGGACTCAAAGAAGATAATCGGGCTGGAGCAGTACCGAGGAACGAAGATAACAGCACCGTCATCCTTATACCTTAAACGGCGTTTGTCGATAGAGGGAATCCTAATCAGACTCGAAGCGGGAAAAGAATCAACTAGGAAGTCGGCTCCAACCCGCGACCTTACAGAAGAGAAGCTGGCCGATATGGCTTCCATGAAGGCTCGTGATCTTATGATAATTATGTCTACAAGAGGAGCAACATCTTGGCGGCCTGTTGCCAAAAGTCCATGGTTTGGGAGCACACAAGAACAGGACACAAGCTGACAGCGAGCCATTTGCGTGTATACACAACCGCACAAGGAGGCGATGCCAGGTTACCAGTGCCGCCCTAGCATCTTCAGCCACACTACTCATACACGTCCCTCATCATTACGGAACTTGCGCAGTCGTCTGCGGCACGCTTCGTCCAGCCTTCAGGCTCTGGCGAGAGCCCATACCGTCCCCTTGAGTGCTCGCCGCCGAGAGCGCGCGAGCTCAACCGATCACCAACGCCAAAAAATGCAATGTCCAGTATTGGGGTACCCACCACCAGTTCGAACTCCCGTGGTTCCCTAATGCCCGCTTCGCCTCGCCCACGATGATGCCATATGGTGGAAGTCGAGCAAATGTAGAAATAAAAGTTGAATGACTCAAGAGAGCTAGTTGTTTTTCTGGCTGTTGGCAGACCGTTCCTTCATCTCCACCTTCTTCTGCCCAAGGTCAATGATCCTGGGTACCAACTTCTTTTGGCTGTCAAGCTCGATGACATCGTCGCCTCCACCTATGCTCACACTATTTACCAAGATGTTGGGAACTGTCTTCCGGCCAGTCTTCTCGCCGAGGAAGGCCTGCAGCTGAGGGCCAAGAGGATGCTTATCCAGTTCGACAACGTATGGTGTGGGCTCGATCGAGTACTTTTCGAGCAACAATGCCTTGGCCTTCTTCGAGTACGGGCAGTAAGACTTGGAAAAGATGATGACTTGGTCTGGTTAGCTGGCATTTGTTTCACGAGTCTTGACGTTAACATACCTGGTGACTTCTTCAAGATGGAGTTCAACTCAACCTCGACAGCATGTTCCTCATCGCTCTCGTCCTTCTTCTTCTCCTCCTCTTCAGTCTCGGAGACTTCTTTGCCATTGGCCGTCTTTTCCTTCTTCTTTTGTCCAGCAGCAGAGTTGCCCTTTCCGACGACGTCGCTAGGCGCATCAGGCTTCAGTGGTGATTTCTTGTTGGCAAGTTCCTTGGCCTTGTCTTCGGCGGCCTTCAGGCGTCCTTGCATATCCTTGGCGAGCTTCTCGTCGTCGGCGTCAACGTCGCCATCGGCATCTTTGTCAACAGGCACGTGGCCAGCTGCCTTGGGCTTATTCCCTTCCAGCACCGCTTGGCCCGGCGGTTGTTTGTGTTTCAGTCCATTGACCGTCTTGTGGTAGAAATCTTGGATGGTCCGCTCGTCTTTGACTTCGTTCGCTCGCAAGGAAGATGTGTAAAACAACACGAAGACGACACCAATCAGCACACCCACCAGGAGGGTGCGCAACTGCCTTTGCGAAGGCATCTCGAAGATTCTGTGTCGCGAAATGGCCGACGCTTGCAAGGGTATTTAAATGCGACGTGAGAAGCAGATTCGAGAAGTCGGTACTGAGAGTCGCAAACACGTCAATGGCGAGCGGCAGGATGGTACAACAGGCGGTGCGTCCCTCGTAAGGCTTTGTCGGTGAATGCCACGGTGGGTGGGAGTCGACAGCGGTGGGATCAAAATCGAGGAATGGCTGCCGATGTGAGGCTCCCTTTTGTGTAACGATGCAGAAGCCCAAGCGTATCGGAGCTTCCCCAGCAATTGGGCGCTTTGAACAGGACGTTTCGTAGCCGGCGAGCGATGGGAGGATGGACCAGAGGAAGTTCCCCAATAACGGCACAAAGAGTACAAAGGCTCGTTGGTGATCGCAAGCAAAGGTGTAGTGCTAGTCAATTGTCGGATGTCGAGAAAGAGGTGCGTGGTCGTAGGCGTCGCGCGCGCTATCGTGAGGTCGAGAAGTGTCAAAAGGGGATGAAGGAGATGGTAGGTGAGCTATGGTAGGTAGGAGTGGGATCGACAATTTGGCTCCCGTGACTAACCACTGCAAGTGCGCTGGCAGGATGGCAGGTTGGAACAGACGGGGTACCTAAGTAAAAGGTACACGATGCGCAGTAGGATGAAGCCAGCACGAGCCAGGTCGTCAATACCTCGGAAATGCTGCTTTGCTGGCGACTTCTCATCCCGGGGGAAGAGCTGAGGTGCGCCAATCCCCGAAGCCAAACCGCGACGGAAAATACCCGGGCCACTTGAGCGCGCCAAGATTAAAGTACCTCGAACCCCGTATCTGCACATCACCATCGGAGGCCAGCTTCGGTGGAGGTCCGGCTTTATGCACCAATCAGTGGGTCCGAGAAATACCGTCTTTAGCAATCATCCATACTGTACATAATGCCTCTACACGCAGCTTCAAAACAGTATATTTCTATGCATCTATACGGCTCGGGTGATCGTCACCCTGGTGGATCGTGGGGCCGTTCTCCGTGCGCAAAGGAAACATGACGGGACGGCTTGACTCGATTCGAAACAAAAACACATCTCATCTTTTCCTCGCCGGAGCCTCAGTGTACAAATCACAGTGACAGGTTGTCAATCGTCAATCTACTCAATTATTCCGCGGCTGCGTCAAGACGATAAACCTACCAGGTGCCAAGTACTCCAAGGTCATCAGCATGCCGTCATAACGAAAGGGAGACATCTCGAACCGCCAACGTTTCTTTAGCCGCTTCAGACTGAGAACCTGCTGGCGAGACGATTCTTGTCTCCGAGAGACTTGAGCAGCCCGCCGTTACAGTGTTACTCGATGCTAACAGGGATATGGAAGCGGTGCTGACACGATTTCGCCAACAGATCGCCCACGCTTACCAGCTTTCCCTGTAACAGATGGAGAACTTCATCCCCATACCTGACGCAATTACCGACAATCGCATTTCAGTATCCAATTCTTCTCAGACAAGTCCAGCAGGTTTTTCGCCTCAGCCAACGATCAACATCAAGCAAGGCACCTCGAAAAATCAAGAGAAGCGTCCATTATAGGCGAAAAGTGGTATTATTCTGCATTCTAAAAATATCGCCAGCCCTATCATCAAGTGCTATCGTCGCGCGTCCCGCCGATCCCGCGGCGGGCTTGGTTCCTTCATCTCATCATTCCGCACACACACAACTACCAGGTGGCTTAGTCAACAGCCGCCAGGACCATAGCTGCTCAAAGCCCAACTCATGCCAAATCTAAATACAAGCATTCGAAAACACGCCTTTCCATCACGGTCTCTCTCAAATCTCACGCTGAAATTTGTTATGCCTGACAACAGCGTGAGCTCGCAGCAACCGCATCGCAGAGTCAGCATGCCGGCTGTCGACGATATCCGCGACCGACCTCACGCGGCTCTGCCCTCGACCCATCGCCGCCAGCTTAGCTCGGTCAGGTAACGTCTGTTGCTCGCGGACTGGGTTCGTCCTCACTCCTCGTAGTTGCTGTGAGTCGTCGGAGTCTGAGTCGACATGGTCTGATGCTGCATCATTGTGCTTTGGAGACGGAGGAGGCGTCAACGTCGACTCAACATAGGGTGACGGTGATGAGGGCTTTTCCGTGGCGATGAGATTTTGAAATAGTGGTACGATGTCTCTGAAGGTCTTCATCGCTTCGGGTTCGGACTCGGCTGGCTCGACTTTCTGGTTTAACTTTGCGTGCTGGTGGCTCAAGTGAGCGTGTGTTGCGGCGCGTTCTCTGTGGCGCTGGAGGTGAGAGTGAAGCGACGATGGTGCGGCCTGTGCTTGCGAAGAGAGAAGCAGCAGAATTCCAAAGAGGGCAGTGGGCTGCATTATCGTAGGCGGGTTCGCGTGGCGTTTTTAAATTTCTGGACTCGATCTCGAGGTGGCTGGCTGGCTGGGCTTGATGAATTCCAGAGCTGAGGTTGGTAAACTCTCGTTCCCTTTGCAGTGTTTTGTATATGTTGGCTGTCTCGAGAGGTCTAGAACGGAACTGGAGGGCGCCGACGGTTTATATCCCAGACTCAACGGTTTTTTCTGCTACCAGACAAATGACGCAGAAAAAAACACCACAAACGTCATCTAACGGTGTCCAAAGTTGGAACAATCACGCCGGCGTCAAACGATGAAAAACCCGCCTTCGATCGGAATGTAGCCCTCCTCCGTCTCGGTGTGTGCCTCCCACCTAGGTCAGAACGATTCAGACCCTGTGATGCTTCAAGCCCGGTGTAACGTGTAAGCCGTGGGGCGCGAGAGCCCCCTTCCAGGGTCTGTCTGAGTCAACCACCCAACCCCTTCCTTCACAACACCACACATAACACCACAGCTGTCATTAATGACCTCTTCAAAATGCCTGTACCCCCCGAAGCCAAGAGAATCGTACAACACCAGTGCTTCATTCAGTCTTAGGGATTGCCATACCGACTTTTCCATAGGATGCGGAGACTTCGATCGTCAGGCTATGCCCAAATTTTGTGTACGAGTCTGGTTCAAGGGTTACCCGCAGTAGACGATTGTCGTGTCCATCAAACGACACATCATATCTAGATGAATCATGGGCAAATATCAAAACTTGTTCAAGTTGATCATGAAGAAACGAATTATCTGCCGCTTGTCAGCTTACTTCGCTTCTCTTCGGTTGGTTTTGTCTGCTTAAGGGTGATGCAAAAAGGGCACAGCAGAAGAGGGGAAAAGTGTCATCTACAGCGATTAGATAAGAAACTTGCCTATTCAGGCCATCACCTGAACGCTGACTGGGCACGCTCGAATTCCCTCACCTCCTCGCCTGTCAACAAAGCCTTGCCCTCCTTCTCCTACTCCTCGCGCCCTTTCGTTTCACCTCTCCCCTCCATCTTCTTCCTCCTCTTACCCATCCATCCTTTCTTCTTTTTAGGAAGTTTTCACTTTTTTCTGACTCTGTTTGCCCAGGCTCAGGGTCCTTCCGAGACACCTCCTCTCTTTCACGCCGATGTAAGTCAATCGCTCCTGCCTCCCAGCCCCCCGCAGACATCCCACTTACACACTTTTGCCAACCCAGACGGCAGACCTGCCACCCCCTTCCCACCCCCTTCTGCACGAAGAGAATACAAACTCTCGCCACCCTCTGGAATTCTTGAACAAAGGCACACCGCCGAGACCTGTCAACCGTCAGCAATCTTTCCAGGTCTGGACCCTTTAACGTTGATCACCCGGGACGCAAACTACCCGGTCTCTCCACCTACGCACGACCGAAAC